TAGCTTTTGTATCTTCTGAGATCGACGCACTCATACAGACGGACGGACGGACAGATGGACAGGCGGACAGGGCTATATCGACTCAGCTCGTCGTCCTGATCAAGAATATGGGGTCTGCGATGATTCTTTCTGCCCGTCACATACTTTTACACAAAACCATTATACCCTGATTTTCTAATTTCCAATAAGTTCAGGGTATAAAAATGAAAAAATAATTATAATAAACGAAATATTTATACATATTAACACACATATATGTTACCTCGACATTACAGATTGAAAGTTGGTCACTTCACAGATAAACATTTCTGCTGTTATCACAACACGCACAGAAATAATGTTTGAATGATGACAAACATGTCAGAAGTTAGAGTATCATGATGATTATTCACAAAATGATTCTTTCTTGCTTGTTATTCGGTTATAAAATAGTTGAAGTAATTCCCGTTATATTTATATGTACATTCATAAATCTCTAGAAAAGCCTAGCTGAAGTGCTTCCCTTTTATCAGTTAGTGTATTTCCATGGGGCGTTATAAAACTATTCCACGATTAAAACCCCATCAGCCAAACATGCTGAGTGCTTGATAAGCGTTCACTCTTTATACTATAATATACAAATGGCAAAGACGAACTGTAACTAGGCTAAACGTTGACGGGAGTGACAGTTCATACGCTTATCTATCTATATCTTATCAAAATTCAGTCTATACAAACTATGCGCTGCCCTGTCTGATCTTCACATGGACTCACCTTTAAATTTCTCCGCCTTGCGATAGACATGACTGTGGATCTGCGGACCCTCAAACAGATCCATGCCCTCGATTGTGGGCATGTCCGGTTCCGTGTAGTGGCCATTGCAGACATAAATGAAATCGTAGTAAACCGGATCGCAAGTGTTGTTATTGTGATCCCAAACATAGACCTTTAAGAAGTGTCAGCATATGAGATCGATCGATTGATCGTTTAACAATGTTATGTGAATAAAAGTGACGCAATGAATCATGGCGTCAGCACTCACCTCCCAATCGTTTAATCTTGGACGCACCCTAATCACCTCGTGCTGCAGCTTGATGTGCGGTCGTAGGTTGAAGTGATCAGCATAGGAGTGCAGGAATTCCAGGACCTGCTGCGATGTGATGAACGAGTCTTCAATCTCTGTGGGATACGGGTAGTCCGGATAGCCCATGACTTCCTTGGGCAGATTTGTTCTGAAGATAGATTATAGACCTTACTTTAGACCAATCGCCATTGCTTTCTAGTTGATTGTTAACCTACCGCAAGCCCTCGTACATGCTGCTGTGAACCTCTTCGTGCTCGTCCTTGGGCAACTCGTCCGAGAATATCCAGGTGCCTCCGATTTCTGCACCTCGCTCGTACGCGACAGCCTCCAGACCCGCTTGCAGTGAGTTCTTCAAGGCGCTTAATCCAGCGGTGCCAGCTAGACATGTTCATAAATATTCCCCGATAAATTCAACTTGTTTTAAATACGTCTCTATAGCTATAATTTACCTCCAATCACGCACACGCGACGCATCTCCTGCATTGGCGTCTTGTTCATCTTTATGAGTTGTAGTATTCAACCTCTCCGTCGTTGTCTGCAAATCTTTTTTCGTATTTCCTATTTCGGCAGCCTCCGTCGACGCGTCTCTCCAGCTCGCTGACTGATAAGTGACTACGACAACTAGCTCATTCGATCAGCGTTTCCAGCATGTGCCCCAACGTTCACAGCTCGCGCTAGACGAATACCCTATGCGAAACGGATTTTGTGGGCATTCTTGTTAAGCCATGCATTTGGATACAGCCGAAAGGTCACTATGCTAACATCTAATTGAAATCAGTATTTGTATCTTGAATAAAAAAATATCTTAAAATACATCGCAGCTCTTATATGTAAATGAATCGAGTGTCGTATATTATCGCAGATTCTGAGTTTGAACCTCATTAGATATGTTGATACGTAAATGTTTTTGACATTATTATAGTTTTATTGATATTTTAAAAATAAAACCCTAAAATATAAATTTCTCTAATGGTTGAGAGATATAATATGGGAACACATTGTAGACATCTGTTTCCATAATTAGCTTGGCACCAATCTAGAGTGTCGCCTACTAGAGCAATATTTGATTTCCTGATAATACTATTTATTTTGTATAAATATATACTCAACAAGTAAGAAAACTCTAGCTCTAAAGGTGTAGAGGATATAATTAAATAACTAGCTTTCGATAAGGTTTATAATCGATAAGAAAATATCGGGAGTTGTTATCGATTTTGTGTGATAAACTCCATATGCGCGTGATATACACGAACCTAAGAAAACAAATTTTACGTCTCTAGCTCTTATATCTTCTAAAATCGACGCGTTCATACATACGGACGGACGGACAGACAGACGGACAGGACCAAATCGACTCAGCTCGTCAGGGTATAAAAAGTATTCGCATTGAAAATGCAAAATTGCAAAAGGCAATTGTTCTACGGTTTCATATGTAACAGATGCATGCACATGCTTATTTGTAGTGTATTGAAGAGTCGACTTGATTAAGCATTTCTGTATATATAAACTCAGTCACATAACAGTGGCGTACACAAAGGCATGTGCGTCGGCGTCGGCGTCGGCTTTGGCGTTAACGTTGTCGTCAGCGTCGGCGTCGGCGTGAATAAAAGCGCTGGCAGACAACAAGGTAATGAATGCAGTAGGAACTTTTGTGTTTCTATGCTTGTGCCCTGTGCGGCTTGATAAGACGGGACGCTAGGCTCGTCTCGGCTCGTTTTCTAGCAAATGCTTTAATCTTTCCCTTTCACTCGTTACCAAAGTTTCCGTTCGATTCTTTTTTGCAGCATGATTTTCTCCATTTGTCACAATTAAACGACAAAGAGGAGTATATGTACATTCATATATAGAAACACACAAAATAAATATTATATACATTTATAAATATATGGGACAAAATACATATATTTTACTGAATAGCTTGCACAAAGATTATGTCATATCAGTTTATTAACACAGTTAACTTGATTATCAGTTGAGTTGACAAACGCGTAAAATAAAGACAGATCTATTAAATCGTAGTTTTATGTGTATACACACACTCATATGCTATACATTTATAAACAATTCAAAGTATGTTGGGAATGCAAAAAGTGAAGTAAAACTCAATATACAATTTTGCACTAATAAAACGTTATAAATTTGTTGAAGGACACTCAAACTTAAGGAAATGATATAAGCAGCATTAGTTGTAAATCTAGGTACCGTATTACAATAATGTCTTAGATTAGGTAATTAGATTCTATATACTGCAAATAGGGATCTATTTTGGCGGTATTTGAATTCGGCATGATGAAAAACGTAGACTAAGATAAGCTGCGGGCGCAATCTTTTTTTTCGCATTTTGATTTGTTGGTTAGTTAAAAAACAATCAAAGATTGACCAACTTTAATTTTCTTATACATTAACAGTTATTGTTAACTCAATTTATAGAGATTAAGAAAAGGTTATCTTCTTCAGTTTCTGTTTCATAGTAAAATCTGTCGAAATGAACACACAGTAAATGCCAAAAATGAATGTTTCGGTCATTATCTACTATAAATAGTGTGAATGTATAAAAATAAATACATTATACATACAATATATTACTACTTTTATATCAAATCAAAAAAAAAAAAAAAAAAAATTTTATAAACACCTGTTGCCTAATCGCACAGTATATTTCTGCACATTAACATGGCAACAAGCATTCCTGCTGTTATCATAACATGAGGATACAGAAGAAGCACGCACACTGTTGATTCGACCTAAACAATGTCACAATTTCCCAAGATAAGAGCTTCCAGTTCTTGACCGCAGACACAACCGCAAACAAAAATCAAAAAACCTAAATATTTAGTCAGACATTCGGTTTAGTTTTTATTACACAATAAAAAAGGCAACAGAAAACAATTATGATAGTGCACAGCCGACGGACAGCGGACTCTAAGAAACTAGTTTCAAATAAATGCAACACATCAAAATCTACATTTGATAGAATCAATTAGCTTTATAGACTATAGGGCACTTTTTTACAATTTGCCAGTAAGCTCGGGCACAGCCTTGAACAAATCGGCCACCAGACCAATGTCGGCCACCTGGAAAATGGGCGCCTCGGGGTCTTTGTTGATTGCCACAATTGTCTTAGAGTCCTTCATGCCAGCCAAGTGCTGAATGGCTCCAGAGATGCCCACAGCTACGTACAGCTCAGGTGCCACAATCTTGCCAGTCTGTCCAATCTGTAAATCGTTGGGCACATAGCCAGCGTCGACAGCCGCACGAGAGGCGCCAACGGCAGCGCCAAACTTGTCGGCCAGGTCATACAGCAGCTTGAAGTTGTCCCCAGACTTCAGGCCACGTCCTCCAGAGATGATGACTTTGGCGCCCGTCAGCTCAGGCCGATCTGACTTGGTCAGTTCCTGCGAAACGAATTCGGACAGGCTGCTGGCGTAGTCGCCAGCTGGCGCCTGCTCCACAGCTCCGTTTCCGCCACTAGTGGCAGCTGGGGGGAAGTTCGTGCCACGCACTGTGATAACCTTCACTGGATCCTTAGACTTGAGCGTGAGGATGGCGTTGCCTGCATAAATGGTGCGCACAAAGGTGTCCTCAGACTTGACGTCTATAATCTCTGAAATAGGCGACACGTCCAGTTTGGCGGCAATACGTGGCAGAACATTCTTGCCAAAGGCTGAGGCGCCGGCTAAAATGTGGGTGAACTTGAATTGCGATTGGGCGGCCAGGACTAGGGGAGTCAAGGACTCAGGAGTGAAACCCTTGAATGCGGCATTTTCAGCGACCAAAACTTTAGTAACGCCCTCCACCTTGGCTACAGCTTCAGAGGCCTGAAATCAATGTCGAAATCGGATGATTATGCAAACCATCAGCAACAACAACAAGAATCACATCAGCTTACAGGTCCACATTTCGTGCCTGCTACCAGAACTGTGACGTCACCGCCGATCTTCTTGGCTGCCGTGATGGTGTTCAGTGTAAGAGGGTTGAGTGCTTCATTGTTATGCTCCGCCACGACCAAGGTGCTCTTGCAACGCTGCAACTTCAATAGAAAAATTGATTATTTAATTACATATAAAATTCTTAAGTGATCGTGCGCCATTTTATTTTGCCGATTCTTATCTACACTTACAAAGCTGCTGCGTACTAGATTGCGGGTGTTGTTAACAAACATGTTGCGTATTGCGAAGAATAAAAACTGTAAGAAGTATTTAGTTTAATTATAAACAATTAATGTTAATTGATTAGAAACTACCTGCCGCAGTATTAAACACAGAAAGTCCAAAAGTCGTTTTGCCAGCTGTTTGCGTTTGGCATTATTTAGTATATTCTCCTGCTGTTAACTATTAACAGCATAGCTGGCACAAAATTCGATCGCAGTGGCAACGCCATAGCGTCTGCTGTGAACGTAAGTATGTATGTCTAATTGCGTATACAAGTATTATTTTGTATATAGCACGCGGTAAAATTTGTAGAGAAATTGTATTATTTTTTTTGGATATGAACGTTGTATATTAATCAAAAGTAATTGCAAAAATGGGTAAAGCGATACCAGATCGGTATGTATATATAATTTGATAGTAATTTATGTGTAAACGGAAATATTGGCATTGTTTTTGTTTTGTTCTTGCAGCTGGCTTAATTATCGGCCCATTGGGGAACGTATCGCAGGAACGCGGTTCATTGCATTCAAAGTGCCGTTGCGTAAGGTGAGTGTGTGGCTGACCCCGCAAACCGGTTTACCGTTGTAGTCCCAGCCATTTGATTGATGCTGAAATGTCGACCACCGGGCCAGCTCTATAAATAAATAACAAAAGGGATCTGCCTTTTGTGCTCGATGCAATTATGCATAAAAGTGGCAACTCGTACAAGCCAGGTACAAGCAGTGCAAGGAGCAGCTGGACCCCACGCAAGCAGCATGAATATTAAATTAAATTGTTTTTTGCTTAATTAAATAACACTGTACAGGCGCTGATCCTTGCTCCTTGCACTTGCCCTTGCTTCTCCTTATAAATTGTACTGCCGACGGGCACTGCATAAATTGAGCAATTTCTGCATGTTTTTCGTATGCCTTGTATTTTCTCTGTTGTATTTCTTCGCAGAATATTAATGAGAGTGTGGACGACGAGCAACTTCGTCTGGCGCCACACTCGTTGCTGGAGTCGGTGCCAAATTTAGGACTGATCGTTGACCTGACCAACACGAATCGTTACTACAATCCACAGGCAAGTCTACTACTTTAACTGCACAGATAATGTCAATGGAACCTCTTGCAGACTTTCCTGGACCTGAATGTGGCGCACCAAAAACTCATGATACCTGGCCATCAGACTCCCACCAAGCAGCTGGCACAAAGGTATGCCAAGTCTACTATTATTTCAAACATCTCTTCAACTTGTTTCTCTTTCAGATTCTGCGAGTATGTGACTGACTTTCTGGATGCCAACCCGGATAATGGTAAGTGCTCGAATCGCTCACCCACGCATAGCTCGCTGTCGCTAGTGCCGTGGGAACGCTTTCCCCAATCATCTCAGCCATGCAGCATACAGATCTGTCAACACAATTAGAGCCTGAGATATACAAAGAAATCATATCAAAATCCAGTTGCCGTCCATGTGTACCATGCAATTACCTTGTGGCGGCGGCCGATGCCTATCAGTTGGCAAGCGCACAATAAACATACCCTTTACTTAAATAGCAATATGTAGTAGAAAATGGCGATGAACAAAAGAATCGCATGGAATTTCTTGTTAACCTTTAACTTGCACATGCGAGACGGTGGACGCGCCCACTCCAACTGTTAGAGTTAGTTCTCAGTCTCAGTTGCAAGTTCCAAGTGCCAGGCAAACAATTCACTTAAGCTAAGAAAACGTTGCTTATGCATCTCCCATGTGACTGACCCTGCAATACCCTGCTGTCAGCGTAGGAGATGTCAGCGACTCTGAATCGTAATCTGTGTCGTGTGAAAGTAGGGAATATAATTGTTCATTTGAAAACAGAGCAGAAAAAAAGAGACTTTCTACTCAGGCATATTACCAAATTCAGTAAGACCTTTAGTATTTACTTTTCTATGATATATCATATATATAATAGGTTTACATATATGTATTTGGCTGCTGGCTATTGCGATTCATGCAATTGTCAATAATTTGATTGCCAATTATCGTGTCTGCTTTATGTTAAAAGATAAGACAAGCACTAAAAACCATCCCAATAATAAATATCCCATTGACCATGTTAAAGCTGCGGTCAAAAACCAATGCCTAAACTCGAAGTAGCCGGTTGCTGTTAGCGGACAGTGGGACAAATAACTGCGGATGTGTACTGACATAAATACCCAGTTTGATCATACTAGATTTGGCAGCACGAATCGTTCCTTATGCTATCCCTCTCATTAAAACGTGAATGTTAACTTTATTATGACTCAGCCAGACAGAATTGCCCACAAGAGTTAGCGCATATATACATACATATGTGTATATTGCCTTGGCCAAGGTACACTTAAATACCATTGTGCCCCATATTGCGACAAGGATATTGTTTGTAAGCTCAGCCTAAATACATGACGTACAAGTGGCAGTTTCGACCGGCTGCGGTTGTAGTTGCTGCCAGAGCAGAGTAAAGCTGAGCTGAGTTGAGCACCCGCATAGCGCACCACCGCAAAACGACTTTTTTGATGCCCCTGCCGGCCCGACCGCCTAACAGAGCGACGGATCGACTGACCTGACATGTTTTTCTCTTTTGCTCGCATTAAATTTATTGCCAATGTTGTGCATATTGGCAAAGCGCGCTGTTTTCTAGATGTACCTCAGGTCGCCGCTGCAGCCGAATGAATCTGCTTTTATGCCAATTGCCCCAGCAAACACAGCCGAGTTGCAGTTGCAGCAAGCCGGTTTGCCAGAGCTCGGCGTGGGCGATGCGAGGCGCATTCCTGTGGCTGCCTCTCAAATGAGATCTACAGCATTGTGCGGCAGGTAAATGCTTTCTCCACTACTGAACCGAACCCGACCATCTAGCAAGCCCTTCTAGGCAGGAGGCTAACATGTATTGTATTTGATTTGTCATTGTTATTATTGTCATAGAAGCATTAATGTAACTCCAAAAGAAAAAACGTGATCTCTCAAATCCATTTTACAGACAAACTCATTGGCGTGCATTGCACACACGGCGTAAATCGTACCGGTTATTTGATCTGCTACTTTATGATCACCAAGATGAACATGTCGCCCAAGCTGGCTATACAGAGTGCGTAAATTAGCAGCCAAAAAAGAGGAGAGCTAAGCATCAGCCTCTATAATAATCCCTTTCGATCCGCAGCTTTTGCCGATGCACGTGGCCACAAAATTGAACGTGAAAACTATACCGAGTCGCTGCAGCACTTGACGTCTGAACAGGGACCCTGCAAGCCCAGCCACGCTGAGGGCGAACGCCGCTTCAGCCAATGGCAGGTGCGGGACGAGAGACAAGAGGAAGCGACAGTCAATTGGCGAGTCCGTCAGCAGGAGCACAACGCTTGGCAGCAGCAGCCGCCGTCGCTGCCGAGCCGTCAATGGCGGAATACCAATACTTATCATAGTCAAGAGCATGGCCCGCAACGTAGGCCGCTGAAACGGAAAATGCCGTGCTGGCGCCAGGCGGCGCACAGCGAGGAATCAGCTCCAGAGACTAGACGCTACAATGACTACCACTCGGATAATGCCCGTTATCAGCAGCAAAACCATTGGCGGTCAAGGCAGACTGCCGGCCATTGTCCCAGAGAGGAATATAGGCTCGCCTACAACAGCAGCAGCCGAAGCAGCAGCAGTTACAACAAAAGCAACAACAGCAGCAACTATCGCTGGAACAACTACAACAGCAGAGGCAACAACGATGACAACTACAGAAGGGGCACCCACAGCAGGAGCCGCAGGAGCAACAACCACACCAGCCACTACAATGAGCAGAACTATGGGCGAGACGAACGTCGCAGTAACTCAACTCGCTTTCGGTGCTTTGAAACGGACTGACCGGTTGCCCGCCTCCTGGCGACGCTACCTTGCAACGTTCATGTAATTAGTGCAATTTGATTCTGTGCTTTTTGCAAAAGTTTCGTTTCGTAATAAATTGCAGTCGTCTGTTGGCTAATTTGTTTGTAAATTATTGTCCATTAGGCAGCGGGCAGCGACGACAATTAAAATTCATTTTCGACATGACCAGAAGCCGCGGGTGCCGCCAGTTCAATCTGTAGGCAGTTAACAAGCTGCAGATCGCACACGGCAGATCGTGTGAAGATATGCTCCAAATTTGCATACGCTTTTATGACGGCCAGCCGAGCAGAGTCGCCAAGGCAGGCCAGACCTGGTCCGGGAAGATAAGCACAGAGCGAAGAGTGGCGTGCAATTCCTGGAAGTTAGTGCGTCGCCGGCGGCAAGCGGCTCCTGTGTCAAACAAATGTCAAAAGTTATGCGAGATGCGTGAGTAGCAACACACACACGCGCACACTGTAGGTTGCACAGTGGGTAACACATTGTATGTGTGTGCTCAAAATTTGAATAAAGCCCCACACAGCTGACAGGCAGCTAACAAGTCGTCAAACTAGTTCGGCTAAATACATTCATTCCAGCCTCACACAGCTCGGACTAAATGCCTGATGAGTTGCTCTAGTAAACCAGCTGGTTGATAATTTCTTGAATAATTTCTTGGGCAGCAGCTTTTGGCTTGATGCCTCGCTTGAATATTGTGTGTAGTAATTTCATTACCTTCAGTTACATAAATATCTGTTAATAAAACTGTGTAGCAGTTGAATTTGGAAGCCCGCTCTAGACACCACATTCAAAGCCAAAGAAAACCCGACTGGGACCTCGTCCTCTTCTTGCGTGTGCTCTAGAGCTCAGCTTCCTTTAGCGGTAGCTGTCTATGTATATTAGATTTAACTACATTTGAATGTAATTCATTTCGAGTGCTTCATTTAGATCACTAAAATATGTATCTGTCATACGATGAGGGCCAATCGACAAGTGCTGCGTACGAAGGAAATGAAGCTGCGAACTGCTCGGTGAGTGCATCTCGTTTAGTCTCCACATAATGGCCCGATATGCCCAACTGGAAGAGCGGTACCTCAAAATCCCCATTGGGTTTCTGCCGAAAGGATGTCATCAAATACTCTGGGAGTAATGCAATTATTGAAGCTTACCGAAATATCAAGACTGAAGTTTAGTGGCGACCGATCTGTGCCGTAGGTGAAATAGATGTGATAGGACAGCGGATAAGCGGGCGGGTTCTCCAGGTAAGTGCGATCGAAGGACCAGTTGCTGAGTGTTGCGAAGTCATCCTCGTAGGTCTGAATGAACAAACTCATGTGATCGGGGCCCTCTAACTTGAACTCGAATCGTGCCGTTGCATTGTTCTTCAGTACTTTTTTACTTAAGAGGGTCAGCTTTGCCTTGGCTGGAAGTTCAACCGGCTGTTCTCGTGGCAGCCATACACTCCCTAACCGATTGTCGACCCAGCGCTCGTCGTATAGTGGTACTCCACACATCATGTGCTTTTCGCAGTCGGATCTAATGCTTCTCGCATTTGTTATTGATTTCATTTTCATTGGCTTTGCTTCCCGTCGGTCCTGGAAACTAATCAGATAGCCCGACTCGTCTTTGCTGATGGAGCCGTCGTACTCGTAGAACACTCTGCGCACATGCTGAAAGTCGGCACATATTAAAGGACACTGTTCTGAGGGATAGATCTTTTAAAATACCTGAAATGATACTCGTTCACTACTCGCTCTAGGGCGATAGGGGAATCCGATGTGAGTGCTGCTTGCGAGGATCACTGTGATCACAGTGACTGTAAGGATGCTGAGGACTATCAGATAGGGACGCCGGAACATGTTGATCAGCGGGATCTACGTAAGTATATCCTTTGCTTTTTATATAAAGTACTACAAACGATCGTGTACGCTCGCTTACCAAGAACCCCCAAGCGAAAATAGTACCCAAAGCAGTCACGCCAGCGATGGCAAGATCCGGATTCATCGCGCTGCCCAAACGTCCACTCATCGGTATCAACACCACCAGCAGGAGATAGGTGCGGTAGGTGCAGTACAAGAAAGGTATTACCTGGCTAAATATTACGAGACCCGTCCAGTTATAGTCGCGATCGTGGAGTGTGGTCAGGAGATTTAGCGCCAAGGATATGGCATAGAAGCTATTCAAGATTGTGAAAATATAGGCGGACCGAAGCCCATAGGCGGTGAGTGCTATAGTCAGCATAGACAGCAGAATGGCCCAAGTGTGCAGAGCCAGTTGTAGGCGATACGGGAATGGTAGCTTGTCCTAGGGAATTCGAATGTTAAGTGGGCTTTTAAATGAAAATATTTTTGAAATACTTACATCCTTTTTCCATTGATAGTAAATTGTGATGGGAAGACTCAGTCCGATGAGCGCTGGACACACATAAAGACCGATCAGAAGGGAAAGAGAGCTGAAGTATGTCAGAGACAACCCGAAACTGTCGAACATATAAGCAATCAGAAGAGGCAGAGTTAGGCCTAATGCTAAAGCTATGATCTGAAGAATCAGTTGGTTTAGCACTCGCTGCAACACTTGACTGGCAGAGAGGGAAGAAATAGAGGACATTCGCCAAAGGGAGACAAAAACCAGGACTATGCCAACTACAGCAACGCAATTGTTTAATATTATGCCAGTATCCCCGGAGTAGCTGATGAGAAAGAGTCCCAGAAAGTCAAAGAAAACTGCGTGTCCTTGTTCGTAGGCCTAATATTCAGAAAATGATAATGAATTTTTTAATGTCAAGTGGCAGAGATTTACCTGCGGATTATGTAGTTCAGTTGCATTCGCCAAGCCTCGCACTAGACTCAATACGTTGTCGCCCGTGCTTTGCATAGAGCTTCGGGGAATCACATCGATTCGGTCATATTTAGTATGGTATATATAGCCATTGATGATCTGAGCTATATCCAAGCCTAGACACCCAACAAACTGATTAATCTTTTTCTGTAAGCAATCAACGAATTATCCAATTATCTACCTGGAATATTTCCGTGCTCAACAAAGGCGGTAAAGTCGGTGTCCGACGGTATCACACCCGATTGAAATATCTCCTCGCCCAAAGATGTGGCAAACGGATGCTTGGCATGCTTCTTGTAGTACTTGAAGATCGAAATTGATTCTATTAATTTATCTCGCGACTCATTCTCAGAAACTTACTTCGACAAGCCAGGGATTGGAGGGACCACTTTGAAATAGAATATCGCGTCCTCCGCTGCCTGCGGCGTCCAAATTGACAACAGCTCTGCAAAGGCGGTTCGTTAACACAGTTTTCGCTCATAATAAAAACATTTCCTATGCATACTTGCAGTGCGGTGCCCATTTGTGTTGGGTAATGAAGCCATGGGAGGCCTGGAATGCTGTTTCTTCGGCACCGTTGAAGAGGAAGACGACGGGATGCTCGAAGGATTGTGGAGTTGTGGCCAACACGCGCAACACCTCCAGCATGGTGGCCACCATGAAGCCATCGTCGCCCGCTCCCGGAGAAGTTGCGACTGTGTCGTAGTGACTGTTCACTAATAGGTACGAGTCACTTGTCGAACTCTTTGGGGTCAACTTAACAATAATATTCTTAACGCCCTGGTACATGTTGAGCATATGGGTGTATCTGAGAGCGCCCGAGGCACGCTGAATGTCCACTTCCATGGTGAAGTAGTCGTGCAGGAGAACTTTTCTTATCGCTGCCAGTTCATTCATAAGGAAAAGCACAGCTTCTTCCTCATTTGCATTGCTGCCCACCGTCCTGGGTCCTATGTTAACCAGATTGTTCAAAGTGTTGTATGCACGATCGCCAATGAATTCGCCCTTGAGATCATCTTCGATGGTCAGCGACGTGGACATGCGATAGAAGAGTGGCAAGACCACTGCGAAAAATAATAGCACCCAGAAGAGCAAGAAACCGGTGCCGAGGTACCATGGTGGTTTTGCATCATCTTTGATATCTCTTTCCTGTATTTTATTGGATACATCTAGGTTATCCTCCTCCGGAATCTGCGAATTTGTTATGTAAACTTAGCAAATCCAAAACATTTAATTTGCGCACTCGCATACCAGTGTAATCTCATCGCTCATTTTCGAAAACAGTTTTTTTTTTGTTTTGTTTTTTTCGTAGTGACTCTAGTTGGTTTTCGTTGGTCGACTAATATTTCGCCAAAAAATCGAACCTCCTTATATAGGGGTAGATAGAAAGTCATAAAAAATGGAAATAGAAATCCATATTTTTCAGAAATATATAATTTTATAACGCTAATGATTCAAAATATGTTTGATAACAATAAAAGCGCGGGCAGTTTCGTATCTATCAATAGGGGCTACAAATGAATAAGCAATATAAGCTATTAAAGGATCAACAGAATGTGATTAAAACGGACAATTTTATGTAAAGTACATATTTCGCATAGTTAACTTTTATTGTGATTTATTTCTACTGTGCATATCCAGAGAATAGTGGAACACCCCCTAGGTGACAAAAACTTTTTGAGCTGCCCTCGCTAAAAAGATTTACAATCGCCATTGAAGGAAGCACGCTTTTTAAGGCAGGCAGAGTCATTGTGAATTGTTGTTCGCACTCCATAAGATCATGTAGATAAGCCATAATCTACTGCCATAAAGTATAGGCCATAATCAGATTTAATCAGAGCTTTCAGATTGCCATTCTTCCCGATTTCGATTAGGCCATGTCTGTCTGGTGTAGCCCAATCAGTCACCATTCCACGAAAACAGGTTACCCCAGCGAGCTTATCTTTTTGCCTACTTGGTCGCGCGTGAGTCCTATCACTACGAATTTT